CGAGACGCCTTCAACACCAATAAAATTTCTAAGTATGCTGGAACTTGCCGATATTCTAAGAAGAATTTCTTTTCTCGGACGGGGATTGAGATATCGAATCCGTTCAAGTATGAGGTTACTAAATATATATACGCAACATCAGCAGTACAAGTTCCGGAGGCATTGTTCATAAAATCATTGTCACGAGAAGCTTGGAGTAAAGAGTCAAATTGGGCTGGTTTTGTTGCTGTGGCTACAGATAAGGGGAAAATTGCATTAGGAAGAAGGGATATAGTGATTGTGTGGAGAGGAAGTGTTCAGACTCTGGAATGGTTTAACGATTTCGATTTTATTCAAGTTTCAGCAACTAAAATATTTGGTGAAAAATCTGATCCTAAAGTGCATCACGGTTGGTATTCCATTTATACTTCAGATGACTCACGATCACTATTTAATAAGGAAAGTGCTAGAGACCAGGTAAATTCATTTATTATGTCTTCTGCGAATTTAACATTAGTATTATTTGCAATTTTAGATAGAGCAAGTGATAATCACGAATTCCATTTTAGGTACTTGGTGAAGTTAAAAGATTGATGGAACAATATAAGACGGAGGAAGTTAGCATAACAGTAACAGGGCATAGCATGGGGGCATCCATGGCAACATTAAATGCAGGGGATATAGTTTTCAATGGAATTAACAAAGGATTTCCAGTCACTGCATTTCTATTTGCAAGTCCTAGAGTGGGAGATGAAAATTTCAAAAGGACTTTCTCAAAACTCGAAAACCTTCGAGCTTTGAGAATTCGAAATGCCCCAGATTTAGTTCCAAGTTACCCATTGTTCGGCTACTCAGATGTTGGTGTCGAATTGGCCATTGACACTAGGAAATCGGGATATCTAAAAAGTCCGGGAGATCAGAGCAGTTTTCATAATACAGATTGTTACTTGCACGGAATTGCTGGAACACAAGGATCCAAAGGAGGATTCAAACTAGAAGTGGAACGCGATATTTCACTCATTAATAAGTATTTGGATGCGTTAAAAGATGAATATGGTGTACCAACTTCATGGTGGGTTGAGAAGAATAATGGAATGGTTCAACAACAAAATGGAACCTGGATTCTCGTGGATCATGAAGATGATGATTTTTAGTTCTCTATCGAGCAAAAATATAGATCTTAAATTTATGAACGAACAGAAACAAAAATAGTACCGGTTTTGATTCCATGATTGATTGGTTCATCATGTACACACGTATGAGAGGATAATTTTTTTTTTTATCTTTTGTGTAATTTGGAAGTAGGGCCAAGCGATATACAATATCTCAGATACGATTATTGGCACTGCAACAAAAAATAAATGCAGTAATTATTTACTTGCATTAATATATACAAATGTTTATTACTAGTATTTTATATAAATGTCATTAGGAATGTGATAATATTAATAATTGACGTTGATTGTTTTTACAAGTAATAAATATTATCCTTAAAAAAAATCTATCTCAGTTAAATGTCTCTTTTATTGTTGCAAGTGATATAAAATGGATGACTAATGCATTCTTTCATTGACGAATGGTTTTTGTTAGTTACGATAATAACGAAACAATAAACTGTACATTTTTGTTTTTTTTGCTTAACAACTCGTGACTCCCATCAATATCTTTTTTTTTAATCATAAGAATCAAATGTTTCCGTCGATCACATAAATAAAAATTTGTTTCATCTCCTTCATGTGAAATTATTACTTATTTTGAATTATAAAAAAAAAATTAACAAGTATATTGAAATAGAGGAGTATTGAACTTTAATTCACCAGTATACGCGCGTTTGATGCGATCTTTAAGGCCTGCAAGTTTTTACTAGGCAAGTACTACAATAATTGCTTCAACATGGGTCTTAACCGTATCAATTCAATTCAATAATCTTAATTAATCAAATATATTTATTTTACATATTTATTAAAAAAATAACAATGATATGATATTTCTTGTCACTTTAATTTCCGATAGATAATACAATGAATAAAAACCTTTGTGTACATGAATGTTATCCCTATTTTCAACAAATATTTTTGTTGGTTGGACTAACGGCCATTTACAGTCATCGTTGTTTTCTGATTTATTAAAGAAGGGATTACTTAAAGCTTTAGTGTTAGGTTCATTATATAAATAATTGTAATTAAGAGGACTATCCATCAAAGAAGTTGTTAAAGTAGTTAGAAGATTGTTAGAGTAGTTAGAATAAATTCAGTTTGTTATTCTTGTATATATATAGTTGAATGTACAGGTTACAAATATATTTTTGAAATAATACACAAGGATCACACGTATCCTTCCTCTATACTGCTTCTTCTTCCTTGCTCTTCTCTGTTTCTTTTCTTCATCTTCTTCTCCACTGTAGCTTCATGATCATGCATGATTAACATGCATCAGCTACAAGAAGATTAACATGATTCCGTCATGCTCCCTCTCCAAGCAATCAAAATTTACTTGAAGGCGCACACACATATTTGGTGATTTCACGTGGAGCCCCACTCTTGTGAAGAGGTTTCACTAATCACTTGAATTGATATAAATATTAATAAAACATTATTTGATTTAGAGGATATTTAGATTGACATCATTTTTTTACTAATATAAAAATAACTTAATATTAGTAAAAAAAATATAATTTAGGATGTGTTTGGTAAAATTTAAAAATATATAATATAACTTAAACTAAGTTACACATCCCTCAGCTTTTTATTTTTTAAGTTAAGTAAAAAGTTTAAAAAACTATTTAAAATGTATATTTAAAAAAATAAAGAACTCGCTACTTTTTATCATTTTCTCTCCGACCACAAACCATTGATTCTGTCACAATTTATACTATTTATTTTTCTTTTCAATCAAACTAAAAAAAAATAACATATTTTTATATTAAATAATAATTTAATTTTAAAATATCATTTTATTTTTATAGAATAATTTAAAATTACATATTTAAATCTTTTTTCTGATTTCTAAATTCCATACCAAACCAAAGAAACCATGTCCGAAGCTGATGCATCTGCTTAAGTTCGTTAATAATAATAATAACTTTATGCGCAGTGAGTGGGACTCGAAAATACCAAAACTATTGTGACGTTACTGAGCATTTGTCGGCTTTCCTCAATTGATTAATTTGTAGCTTTTTCTTTACTGTGTGTGATATTAGTTGATGGTTTTATAAAAAAATAAGTATTCTATATTAATTGTTTTAACTTTTTTAATTAGAGATAAGTGTTAAAAATATATTTAATTTTCAGTTTGAGAAACACACTTCAGTGGTGTGTGTAGTACACTGTCTCTTTTATATGAAAAGAATTTAATACATGACATTCTACATAAATAAAATATTTTACCTAGATAAAAGTTAAATAATAAAAAATTAATATTAATTAAAAATTAAAGAATACTATCCATATAAAAATTAAATTATTTTTCTTATCTCACTCCACCACCTCCTCCACGTACCTCCCTTCCACGCGACAATCCCATCTTTTTTTTAAAAAAAAATATTTATAAAATATTTTTAAAATTTCATACTTCATCCTCCTCCTCCCCGATAGAAATTGCTATTATTTTATTTAAAAAAATCTACCCCATCCTATTTAATCTTCCGCTCCTAATATTTTTTACGTTTTTCTTATTTTGTGTTAGATATGCACGTACGTATATTTTTAGAACAAAATTATACTAGTTTATCGAATATAAAATAAACAACTAAAAAATATAAAAAGTCTTGTGGCAGCAAGTAAAAAATATTTTCGATATACATACCTAAACACTGGGAAAAAAATTGAAAGCAGAGGGTTAAGTGGGATGGGTAGAATTATATTTTTAAGCAAATAAAATAATATTTAAATTTGTATTTGATGAGGGAGAGGAGATGAAGTAAGAAATGAAATACTTTTATAAAATAAAATAAAAAAACTTTTATAAATGGTGTGGTGTAAGAAAAAATATTTTACATTTCTTTTGTAAAAAAATATTTTTTTATAATAGTTTTTTAATTTTTAATTTTAACTAATACTAATAATTTATTTATTTTTTGTGAAGGTTAAATATTTATTTCATGTGGAGTGTGATATGGAAATTCTTTAAAATAAGAAAGAGAGTGTGTATTACACATACCATGATGAGAATGATATAAAAGAGAAATGTGTGTTTCTCAAACTAAAAAATGATAATTTAGGTATAAAACTCAAAAAAAAAAAGTTTAAATGTGTTTTTGACACTTATATCTTTAAATTAAGAAAACATTATTTAAATACATATATGAAAAGGAAAGTGATCATAACGTGAGAGTATCATACTTAATTGAATGAATGTGAATGCTTAAGCATTAAGATGTGTATTAAACTAAGATGATTAAATTAAATATTTACACATATGTTTCATTTTATGTACCATCATTTTATTTGAAAATCCTCAAAAGAAATGTTACATTATTATAATTAGATACATTTTAATTTTAATATTTTATTTATTTTTAATAAAATGATTTTCAATTACATAAATCTGTATATTTTCTAATGGCGGATTGTTTCACCTGAATCACATAAATAACAAAAATGTTTCATCTCATTTGTGTGAAAGAATAATAATGTGTTTAGACTTAATGTAAAAGTATAATGGAAACACAACCCTTCTTTAGATAATTGTGTTTTATTTTTTTAATGATAATACTAGAGATCATTTGTTGGGACAAGTTATCTCGAGATTAATTATTTTGGAACAACTTTTCATCTCTAAGGTATACGTGATGAGATAAATAATTTCAAGATTGTCTAGTAACTTCAACCAAACGCAAGATAAAATAATCTTATATTTTATTTTTAAAATTATTATACCTTATATCTCACACGACTCAAAATAATAAAAAGTTTAGCTTACATTTGGATTGAAACGATTAGTGCATATTTTAGGAACGGGAGGAAAAGTGAAAGTGCCTTGTAAAAGTCCAGTGGCAATCCATTTATACGCAGCTTCTGTAAAATGCATTCCATCCCAACTAGCATACACTGAAGTGTCACTGCAAATATCTCTTGCTGATGGATCCCCACACAGTGCTGAAAATTTGAAGTTGTATGGACCTCCTGCTCCACAACATGCAACTAAAGCTCCTTTTCGAAAACCTGTAATAATTCATTGAATTTTTTGAACGAATCATAAGATTAGCACTTCATTCAATGAAGTGATCAATAAATTGTTGAGAATTTGATCTCCTTATATGGAATTGGACAATCCTCCGTGAAGCTAGATTTTGAGGTTGAGTTAGACCCATCTTTACATGATATCAAATCCAGATTCATTCCAGTTTCTCTGTTCACCAATGTTCCCCCTATATTATAGTGTCCACGCTCCAGCTAACAAGGTCTGGGCGTGCGGGAAGTGTTAAAAATTTTCATCTCGCAAAAGGGATGGAAATTTGATCTCCTTATGTGCCCTTGAAAAATCCTCCCATCATGAACTAATTTTGAGGTTGAATTAACCCAAATCCATAATTACATGAATTAAGAAATGAAATTAATAATTACCATGGCTCTTTGGAGAGGCATAAAATTGCATGGCTGCATTGTAGTAGTCAGCATAGATTATTGTAGCAGCAGGATTAAGGTCTCTAAGAAGATGAAGTTCCTTCTGAAGAAGCTCATTATATTGCTGCGAGAATTTGTTAAGCCAATTAATACAACCAGTTTTGGGATCATACTGCCCCTTATCTGAGTGCATAAATTTTGTGAGATAAGCAGTTGAACATCCAATCGGCAAATCCCCTGGAACTAACAGTGTGCTTGCACCTAACTCGATTAATTCCTGCGCGCATTAAATTACGTACTATGGTTTAGTATTATTTTGAGGTAAAGCAATATGAAGTGTGTTTTGACCTGTATAGCTGAACTAATAGTCTTGACGACTGCTGGAACATATGATTCAACCTCTTCCTTAGTGCTGTTACCAAGAAAACCATAGTTGAAATCATTGCCTCCAATTTCTCCCATAAGTATCAATGAGTTTTGAAGAAATTCCTCGCATTCTTTGTCACATAATCAAAAGAGAGTTGGTGATAGACAAATGTTGAAGAAAACTTATCCAAATATATTCTAAACTTTTTTTTTGAAATGTCTATAAATATTTCTGAACTATTCAATAGGTTCCCATTTAATTTTCCTTCCTATTTTTTTAAAAACAATTGCTCCCTCTGTTTAAAAAGAAATGACTTAGTTTGATTCGATATAGAGTTTATGAAAAGAAAAAAAACTTTTTATTTTGACATAATACATAAATATACCCTTTAATTTGGCTTCAAATCACATTTATGCCCTTCAACTTTGGGTGTTCACAAGTAGACACTTAAACTTGTATACAATTAAACAAATAGACACACATGTTCTATGTATCATCCTATATGTCATTTTTTGTCCTACGTGGTTTGTGTCATGTAGAACTCATGTGTTTATTTATTTAAAAGTTGGATAGTTAAAGTGTTTGTTTGTGCATTACGAAAGTTGGAGGTCAAAGTTAAAATTTGAAACCAAGTTTAGGGTCCAATATAAGTATTATGCCTTTTATTTTTGTAGTTCTAAATAAAAGTTAGGCATAATACATAAATATGCCCTTTAACTTTGCTTCGAATCACATTTATGCCCTTCAACTTTGGGTGTGCACAAGTAGACACTTAAACTTATATAAAGTTGAACTAATAGACACACATGTCCTGCATGTCATCCTACATGTCATTTTTTGTCCAACGTGGTGTCCTACGTGTATTTTGCCATTTAGGACTCATGTGCTTATTTATTTAAAAGTTGGATATTTAAAGTGTCTGTTTGTGCATTATGAAAGTTGGAGGTCAAAGTTATAATTTGAAGCCAAGTTGAGGATCCAATATATGTATTATGCCTAAAAGTTAGGCATAAGACATAAATATATCCGAGTTTTTGACCAAAATGAGCTATTTTAAAAATCAATTTACCTAATTAATATATTTTTAATTTTTTTTATAAAAATAGTATAAACGTACTTTATGGTAACGTTTTAGGATATTTTCATTATAAAAATTCAACGGACAAAAAGTTAATGGATTGACGACGTTAAACGCATAAACGTAACTGTGAGTAACGTTTTAGGTGTAAAACGTTACTCAAGAGTACGTTTTTGGAGAATCCAATCACGGGCCACTGACTCCAATCCTGCAAAGGCGGAGTCAAATCATTCAACTGTAAAACGTTACTATGAGTAACGTTTTGCACCTAAAATGTTACTTTGACTTCCGTTTCTTAAGAATCTAATCACGGGCCTTCGACTTCTGCAAATTTAGAATATATTTAGCTATAAAACGTTACTCACAGTGACATTTTACTTTAAAAACGTTGCTTTCAATTACAACACTCTGTTAAAGTCATATTCCTCAATTTTTCAAACTGACCAAAGTGATTATAAATAAATGTTGTTGTAATATTTTGCATGTTCAAATATAATTCAGCAAAAA